AGCTTCAGCTTGTGCCTCACCTATTCCTATTGCGTGTGCAACAAATCTAGCAACAACAACCTCTTGAGCGAGGTCCTCAAATGCAGCATTGTTTTGCTGCATACTCCCACTAGAATTTGAAGGTGAAGGCAAAGCTATTCCAACCTCAGACAGAAGATCAATGATCCTCAGCCACTGACCGCGAATTAAGCTAAGATCCTCCTCAGCTTGCTTGCGCCTTTCAATCTCCTCCAGGAGACTAAGCCTTAGGGAACGCAATTCAGATTCGAGATTTGGGTCATATGAAGGTGCATTTGAATTAGACGTATCCGAGGAAAAATCTGTGAAAACCATCTAAAACATCAGTTGCTCCTCCTCTTTCAAAAAATAGGAAAGTACTCATTATTCTCACCAGCTCATGAAACTATATTAAATAAAAGCACCAGAACTCAGTACATAAGCTAAATGCCAAGCTCCAGCTCCTTAAATAGTGTGTTTCCTGGCATATTCAAGTTTTGTACTATCCTTGTTTGGATTGCTGTTTTTCGTAAAAAAATTTCATCATTTCCGGTGATCACATTTCCCTATTACCTTATTACCTTTTTTCCTCGCATTCGTCAAATCACTACAGTAATTTTTTTCATGAAAATTCATGAAAAATACAATTCAAACACAAAATAGCCATGATGAAGAAAAAATATACTAACCTAACCTTACAGATATCGTATGAATCCACTGACCTAACCTTAAGAAAGTGTAGCTAACAAACACAGGTATTTATCATCAATAATTTAAACACAAATAATTTTCGCTGAATATCTAAGAAACCCACAATAGACACAGAATTTTATATGGAAATAGAGATATTTACCTTCAATTGCATCGAAAAATTCGCCTTGATTTGAAACAAAACTCCGACAATCAAATTGTCCAGTCACCTCATTTCTACTCCCCAAACTCTCGGACTCGCACCTCGGATCCAAAAAGCCATCTTCCTCCTCCCCAAATAATTCATCCTCAGCTCCGCCACCAAAATTATCCTGCATCACTTCCCCAGCCTCCTCCTCCACCACCACCAATTCACCTCCCTTCTCCTCCGCCGGAATTTCAAATCCACCACCATTCCGATTCCCAACCACTCCAACTCCGCCACCTCGACGCTTGTGATTCACAACATAAGGAGACGGCGACGAAGGCTCGGACGCCGTATCCGGAATCGGAGCCTGTTTCGGAGTTGCATACAACGCCGGAGATATGTAAATGTGTCTGGGAGCCGGCGGGGCCTTAGACACTGAAATTTCCCTCCCTTGAAGGGCGTAGCTTTCATCGCGTTTCGGTGGAGGTGGGGGAGCTGCAATCCGGTCCGATAACGGCGGCTTCGTGTAGGAATCTCGAACTCGCGGCTCCAGTAGGTTCTCAAGCTCTATAGTCGAAAACGTCGGCATAGTTTTAGGGAGAGAAAGTGGGGGAGATTCGTGCGCCTAGGGTTTGATCATTTGGGGTGAAGGAGAAAGCGGAGATCAGAAGACTGAAGAAGAGAGAGGGAATTGAGACAAAAAGGGAGGGTTTTTTGGGTTCTGAGCTAAGGGCTGACGAAGCTTCCTAGGTTTTTGGAATTTTTTAAATGTGACTATTAGTAGCAAAAAGTTTGAATTGCTCAAATGTTGGTTGTAGCCGCACTTTTCAAGGTGGAGTGGTTTGAATGGGCAATGTTTGGCGTCTTGTTCGTCAAGAAAACGGTTGCGTTATCTATACGTGTTGGAAAATAATACATTTTATTTTTCCTGCTGAATATTTCCTTCTTTTTTTTTTTTCTAGTGGAACCTTCTTCTTTTTCTAGAGTAAAATTTTGTTGGAAAAAATTAATATAGCATTTTTTTAATATCATGTATGTGAGATAAAAAAATAGTTAAAAAAATGTGCTGATAATACAGATAAATAATTTACTCTCAAAACAAAAAAAAAACATTTTAATTTTATTCATGCCTTGTAGGATATTGAAATTTAATAGTTGGATGATTTTGGATAAGAGTTTGGCTAAGATGGGTCTAGTTGATGACAAGGGTGCTAAAAAGGTGAGTGTATACATAATTTTGGTTAGATATAAACTTAAGGAATGTGACTAACTTTAAGGTAAACAACTCTTCAATATGCAAAACATTATATTTATTAAATGTTTTTATATTTTTTAAATGCCAAAAAAAAAAGAAGAAGTTCAGTGTAGAATATTTCTATTAATGAGCACACCAGTCAATTTTTCTACAACTTTTCGACTAAATAAACACAGGAATTTATATTTTCTTGCATCATTTGCTTGTTACATTTATCGTTTAGATTGCAGTTTCTAAGAAAAAATTTTATGTTTTTCACAAACACATTTCTCAATCATATTTTTGTCTCGCATACATCAAATCACTACAGTGCATTTTTCCACAAAACTCCAAAGTATAGTAATCCAAATGGAGTGAATTCCTTTTTCTTTACCTCACTTCACTTAATTTTTCCCCATTACACACTTCTCATATGACTTTCCATCAAATAAACAGACAAAGCCCAAATGAAGTTCACCGTACAGATGCTAATAGCAAAAATAATAATATAGAATCCGCCAAAGGTGAAATAATTACACATAAAAAGACCAACGTAGTTTGGATAAATACGGTAAACAAGATAATATCAAATTGTTGGAAAAATATGATAAACGATAAAAAAGTAGGTCCGATGTTAAATTTCTTTTTATCAAAAAGTGATTCAATTCAAGTAGTACGTAATAATTTAACAAAATTAATAATTGATCACCTTATGTTTAGGGCACTCATCGTGTGCTGCTAAAATACTAAATAGAAAAAAAAAACCATCTTAGTTATATAAAGGACCTTCTAATTTAGGCCTTGTGTGGCAAGCAAGTTTTTAGCCGAGTTTGTTTATTATAAAATTTTTAACAATTTTAACTACAATAAACTCAAAAAAAATTTCAAAATTTGTAAATTATACATTTCAAAATATTCAAAAATTTACACACATTAAAAATGTTTACTACAATTTTTACAACAAGTTATAGCAAAATTTCAAATAAACATCCAAAAAAAATCACTTGCCAAACAGCGCCTTAGTTGTGCGAGCTAGAAAAAGGAGGCAGAGAAGACGTCATGGCGTAGGTAGTGGTGGACCTTAGACCAACGCTGTGAGAACCCAGAAATTTGGTTGCGGAATCTCAACTCCACAGTCAACACCAATTACGGGTGTTGTGCGGGTGATTTGCAAGTCACGTTCAATTCTGATTTCTCAAATGCCGACTGAGTCAGGAGTCAACCAACCGAAGGTTCGAGTTTCCCCCCATTCTTGATTTGATTTAAAGGGCATGCGTCAGCTGAACGGGGCCCATGTCTTTTCTTTTGCCCTTTCGCAGGTTCCCATTTTCTAATGGGGGGTCTGATGATGCCTTTCTTTGCTCAACAAAAGCGACCCACAAAACGTAACAGTTACAGAATTTCAAAACATTGCTAATGTTGCACAATTGTAGTACTATTACATTTCCGGTTACAACACGTGGATACCAGTGATCACATCTTCCTATCACCTTTTTCCCTCACATATATCAAATCGTTACAGTAATTTTTCTATGAATAATGACGGAAAATGTAATCCAAACACAACCATTATTTTTAGTTTTTCGGAATTAGGGTTTAATAAAAAAAAGTATATATCTCTCAATGAAATACTATAGGATAGGAGGTCAAGAGTTCAGACCGTACCTCCCATCAATGTACCATTATATGTGATTTCTTCTAAATCTATACGTTGCGTGGTGCACCTATTTGATGCAATGGTAATTTAGTCTCCGTCGATTCTCTCGACTCAATTGGACTATCCCGCTTAGCGTAGGCTAGAGTAGGAATAGGAATAGAAATAAGTTAGACTAAATTCGATGTGTTGTTACGAAAAAAAATACAACACCTTGCAATTATTGCTCCAATGATTGTGAGATTTACTTGATAAATTGGGACATGAGGCAAAAACATGCAAAAGGGGGCTCCATAGGGGCTCCGGAAAATGAGGCCGGGGATTGGAATCGATAAAAAAACAACTCGTATCCTTCATGAATCATTGATAGATTAGCAAAAAAAAAAAAAAACATGTTTAAGTCATGAACAATAAATTTGACCGAGAATCTTCCACACCTCGACGAGGGGACCGTTTTGGAGATGCATAATTTGTCAATTTGCGAGAACGAATGAAGAAGAGTTGTGGAACTTTCCAACGGCATTTAAAGATGGAGTTATTCTTGCTGAATAAAGATTGGAGTTTAGAATTCTAAATAAGTCGAATTGAACTTTCAAACTGCTACACTCAAATTCAAAATTTTGTATTAGAGCTTTAATTTAAGTTTGAGTTTGATTCACATTTACTATTTGATAAGCTTGAGTTCAATTCGAGGACTTGAAAATTTATATATTTTTTTAAAATTTTAATATTAAATTATCATCGATACACTAGTATTTTGAATTATCCCATAGTAGAGAGGCCAAGCGCCATTCCCAAGAGAGAGGGAAAATTTTTAAAAAGAAGCTCTCACCAGATTTCTCTATCTCTTTTTTTTTTTCGATAACGATGATATTTTTATAAGTTAATCTATCTCAAAGATTCGACTAAATTAAAAAGGTAGTTTGACACGTCCTTTGGATTTTTTTCAATGCATGCAGGGTTCAAAGAGAGACTTAATCCCTCTTTAATAGTCACTGAGTCAAAGTTAGGTAATTTCCTATAGGGTACAGATTTCTGGATGGGAAGTTTTTCTGAATGTCAAGCAAACGCTTATTCGGCTCTCATTTCCAATATCAAAATAAACTCACTTCTATTCACTTCCAATCCATCATTACCTCTGAACATTGAGAAAAAATCAATATCATAATCACTGACGATCAAGCTATCAACAAATTAAAAAAAAAAAAAAACAAGAGGAAATATCATTTCTAATCAGAATATCAAGATGTCTGGGATACAACATTCATCGATTTCGATTAAGAATCCTTTTTCCTAAAAACCCTAAAATATACTTCACATGAATATGAATACATAATAATATATAAATGGTCATAAGCATTCATAAATATTCACACTTTTACGCACATTTCATTTGTATAATGACATAAATAAGAGTTTAGATGAAAGCTCTCTCTCTCTCTGGTACTCCAAACCATTCTCATCTTCTCCATACCAGTCACTGCCCCACAATCTTTCTCCTCTTGCATCCAACTTTGCCCTTCTTCCCAAGCTACATATCTCTCTCTATGTGACTAATTTAATCTGTATAAACCATGTATATGGAGAAGTGACATTGGGCATATGTTTTTTTGTTTCTAGACCAAATGCAGTACTCTATAATCGCATGTTGTTTTTAGGTCGTTGTAATATATAGTTCAGCATGACAATTTTTACAAGTGATTGGTTGCCAACAAAATCATGTTCAAGAGTTTTTTTTTTTTAATATTATTTTAACCCTTTAAACATGAGCTATTTGCTCTAGTTCATTCGTGCTTAAATTAGAAACTAATCTTATTAATCCGATGCTATTATTTACAGAAGACAAGAAAAGAAAAATAAAATTGAAAAAAAAGAGAAGAAAATTTTGTTATCTGTTCATTTATGAATGGGATAATTTCAGAAACCTCCCCTAAGGTTTCTGATAATTTCATTGAGCTCCTCAGAGTTTTGAAAAATTGCACATAGCTCTATTGTCATTTAAAATGACAATACTACTCATAAATATTTTAATGAAATTCCCTTGTTTGGTATGCTTATATATATATTTAGAATGACTTTTAAAATTATTTTTTCATTCTTTTTCCTTCTTATTTTAATTTTTGACAATAAAATTGTAGAATTATCACTATTATCTCTAGTTTCTATTGTAACCAAATGCCAAATTAGTGATTTTTTTACGAGTTAACTTTATACGTAATCCAATGTTTTTTTTGCTAATCTTTGTTTTCTATTTTTTGGTATTAAAATTAACAATAAATCAAAAAGAAATTTCCCAAAACCACTATTAAATTATGATAATTTCACTATTCAAAAAATTCATAAACTCTGAATCAATTATTTCAATGTTTTATCTTCTATATTATAAATCTAAATTCATAATAAAATACTATAAAAAATATCGTATCATAGTGATAAAATTATTATTATAGTTGTTTATCAAATAGTAGGTATGGATATGAAAAAGTCGACACATTTTCTTTATAATTACATTAGATAATCTTATAATTCTATAAGGAAGTAAATTAAAACTCATTACACAAGGGCGTTTTTGGATATTCATTTAAAATTTTAACCAAGTCAGTATTATTTTAAGATTTTGTTACTAAAACTATCAAATCAAGGGAGGTATGTGTAATTTTTCAAATCTCAGAGGAGCTTAGTGAAATTGTTAGAAACCTCAAGGGATATTTCTCAAATTATCCCTTTATGAATTAGATAGTACATCTTCCTCAAATTCAAATATCATCAAGAAAATGGTGTTTGAGATTCATTTTGATGATTAAGCTCAATTACTGATGTTGTAATGGCTCCATCAAGAGTTGAATGCTCAGAAACATTTAAGGCCTTGTTTGGATTGCTTGTTTCCGTCGAAAAATATTGTCGTTTTTTATGATCACATTTTTCTATCACCTTTTTCCCTCACATATATCAAATCGCTACAGTAATTTTTTCATGAAAAATGACGGAAAATGGAATCCAAACACAACCTTAGCTATCCACAGATTCGCCAGCCAGTCCATGACTCCCACCGGTGGCAGAACCAGGTCTCAATCTTAGCGCCCAGTTCGAAATAATCGAGTTTATGTAGTCGTCAAACAAGCCTTGCTTAAACTTGCTACCCATCTGTAATAATAATAATGAAGTAAATAGCTAGAAAAAAGAAATATATAAAATTTTTAGTTCAACATCAGTATCATTCTTAATTATAGTACCTGTGTAACTAGAACATATAAAGGTAAAGTACTGTAACTGCAAAGGATTTGGACAAGTATCCTACACAGGCAAAATATTTATCAATGGACAAAATAAGAGCAAGAAAGCTATAATATTTATTTAGTCATAAGAAGAAGGAACCAAAAAAAAAAAAAAAAAAACCAAAAGACATTACTCTTTCCTATAGTAATTACCCTATAGCAAGTCTTGGAATAATAAATCCCAATTTTTCCATAATGCATGATTTGAGCCCATATGTGGCCTGGAGGAGGGTGATAAAACGGCTTTTGGTTAGCACTCTTGAAGTTATTCCACATGATCAAGAACAATGCATTAGCAAAAAATATCAATTCGCTTACCCAAACCCAAAAAAGAAAAGCAATCCCGAATGAATTTTGAAATAGTATGAAGTGAATCAAGTATAGAAAAAGAGTTGGGCTATGAAACCAAAAGAGTTCATCAGAAGGCTTCACCGGTGGTGCTTCAGCTTCTCCGTTCCTTTTCTCTGCAACCTCTTGAGCTAATTCAGTAATTATGTGCTCTAATTTAGCACCCACAAGAAGTAGTAGCTGCAATTTGAACCTCATGAAAACCTTAGTAGCCGCATGAACTGAGCAGGTAACAGCTATTTAAGGGGGTAAATTAAGCTGATTTACTCACTACTAAAGGCAGGAATGATAGCCAGAAGTACGAGTGCCACCCTGCAGCAATTAACCATGCACAGAAGGGCAGGATCGATATAAATTTTCCAAATGCCGTCATTGACAAGAATGAAATACAGAAACCAAAGAAGAATTTGACATACCTGCCAAATTTATCAACAAAAAGATCATAGCAAAGACCCATAAGTACCAGCTGTTGTTAAGGATCAGGCATCAACATTGTTGGAATGACTTTTCATTATAGTCTGGAATATGAGAAGTTGAATGTGTATAGGTAGGTAGCTATACCTTATGCCAACTATTTTCTTGAAGTCGTGTTCGAGGGTCCGCAACATGTAAGTGTGAAAATCGAAGTTAGGCACGGAGGGACAATGAGCCTGAAAGCAAGATAGGTAGACTACATACACGATCAAGAATGATAGAAGATTGTGTACACCACAAATTACATCTTTTAATTAGCTATGTTATATGATGGTTGTACCCGTATAAATCCTTCTCGCAAGACAATGTAGTCTGACTTGGTAACTGAGCCAAGAAACTGTCTGAAGAACGATACCTGCAAAAGATTTGAACCAGCAAAAAAAATTTCTATGAGATTAAAGATTGGAAGTTACATAAACGAAAATATATAGTTCATTTCTACCAATTTAAGTAATTAAATGCCTGTCTGAAATATGAAACTCATCTTTCTCCGAGTATTCCATATATATTAAGCGAGTTCAAGTTCATAGTACAGAAAATTTTTTTTTTTTTTAGAATTAATCTTTGTTACACTGTTAGTGTATACACTGACGGGATTAGATATATGTCACATTATCTGAATTTAAATTTAAAAATTAAAATTTATATATACGATATGCATCTAAACCTACTTATGTATATATTGTCCATACATAAAAAATTTACCTTTTTTTTTCCAAAAACAAAAGGTAAATTGTCCAATTTAGCTTCTCTATTGCCACGTATAGAATGATAAGAGCCAAGCCATCTCTTTGTCCATTACAAGGAGCAAAACATTTATACAGTATAAAGAAAAAGAAAAAAAAAAAGAAACTGGTACAAGAATCTTAATAGAGGGTAGAAACCCATGTTTAGTTTCCATAAACACAAAACCCTTAAATTCCTATCAAATCCACGAATACTTAAGGACCAATTTGATAATTATTTCCCATTCATCTGCCAATTTTTAGTGGAACGTGATAGGATCAAGAAAATCTGTAAGAGACTTCATACAAAAACCAGAATTCTCCTAGGTTATTCAGGATTATTAAATGTTAAAATAAAAGAAGAGTAAATCTTATAAACACTGACAGTGTATGCACTAGTATCATCGTCGGATTCATGACATAGGTGTAAAAGGGTATATTGTGCTGGTATATTTCATCTGGGATGGCCAAATTATAAGGGAGGCAAAAATAATTAACCCCTAAGCTAACTACTACTTTTAGCAAACGATATTTATAAGCGAGTCTAAAAAAATTGTTAAAAATAAAAATAAAAGATATTTATAAGCAAGTAAAATAGATCATATGACAATTGATAACTAAAGTTAAATATTAACACCGATGCATCAAATTATTTCAGTAAAATTCATTAATGGAGAGGGTAAAGAATCTCACCATCCAACTCACAACAGTAGACTTTTCCCAATGTCTCCCTGCCCTCTCCTCGAATATTCGGTGGACAAAAATTTCATAAGCTGCAATAGAAAAGTACAACAAACACCACAGAAAAATTTATTAGACTAACCAAACTAATTACTCGTTGGTAGAATATATAGTAGTGCCTTCTTAAATAGTGAACTGTTTTTTTTTTTTTTTGCCAGCTCTGAAAACTAATGCGTCTAGCTAGAAAAATTACCTCTATCATGTGGTTTTTGCAACTCGCTTCTAATTGAGTCCTCCCAGGGCTTCCACTGCTTTATCTGCGTTGAGATCAAGTTCATGAAATAAAAGATACTCAGGATATTAACCGAATGAATGGAAACAAACAAATAGAAATGATTGATAAATTTTTTTAATAAAAAAAAGACTGCCGACATGTTCACTTTTTTTTTTTTTTGGTTAAATCTATGGATTTTATAAATTTTGGCAAACAGACCTTTTGTTGGAATATACAACTTCTATTTAGATTTTTCAAGATTTTCTAGCACCAAGATAAAAATAAATTATTCGGAGTTGTCTACATTTTTAGTATTTGATTATTTCTAGTTTGTAAGAATTTGCAGAATTTTGTGAAGGTTGTTTAAGAGATTTGTTAGTAGAAGATTGTGTTGAGTTGTTAACAAGCATGAGTAAATTTGGTGAGGATCTTTTATTAGTTAAAAGTCAAAATGGCAAGAAAAAGCTTTTGGGTCTAGTGCTTCAACTTTTGGTGGTGAAACTTACAAATTTTGGAATTTTTTGATAGTCAGTCTATGGATGTGATGGAACATAATGCAGACAGGTTATGTTCCAGCACTATTTGAAGATCCAATAAATACACAGATTAGAGACTACAGAATTGCAGTTATACAAATATCCAAGGCCAACATTGATGTAGCAATTTCGGATGCTGTTTTCACAAGAATAATAGCTAGTGTAATTTATGATGTGATTGAGAATGAAATATTCTCAATTAAAATAAAAGGAAACATTTTTCACTTTGAATTGGCCGAAGTTTGACTATTCTATAGTGGGATATGATGAAATCAAGAATTCAGATGCTGAAAGAATTCAGGAGATCATTGATAAGTTAAAAGATTGTTAATAATGACTTTTTTTTTTTAGTTTATGCCTTAAAAACCAACTCCGATCCCCTCTACTCACTCAACAAATTTTTTTTATTTAAATCGAGTATATAGGGAACAAATTTTTTCATAAAATTCACTTTGCAACTTGTCTTCCGAACGAGGCAGGAAAAATTCCTGTGGGACTTTACTATGTTTCACATTATTGTATAACGAGCTTCAAATGCAGCACCTTTGCTCTTCCTAGGAGCACGATGGTAGCACAGAAGATCACATCAACCACAGCCAACACAAATATGAAAATGTGCAGCTGATGCAATGCTTCCAGTGACAACAGTGGGAGTTTTCCCTGTAAATGTAATCCAACATATAAACAAGAAAAGAAAGAAAAAACAATCGAAACCACAAACATACAAACTTGGAAATTATCTTCTTTTAAGTAGTAGAACGGAACCCATGTATACATGAATTCTGTGCATTTAGACCAGAAGGTAAAAGTAAAGATTACTTTTTTTTTTTTTGGGAAACATGATACCTGGCGTGCACAAGTTTCCAAGCTCACATCTTCAGCCAAAAGCCTCCTCCCATGTTTGGCGATGTCAAGATGCTCAGAACCACCAGAGGAAGCCTCAGTTTTAAGCTTGCATGGGAGCATGATGTTTGCAGCATGAGGAGGAATGCATATACGGCTTATTGGACCTTGAAACACCGTCAAGAGTAAGGAAATAAACCCCAGAAGCATCAATTCTGCAACAAAGGAGAGGATAATAGCAAATGTTCCAATATTAATTTGTGAGTATCATAAGGCAAATTAGTGAATATTGTTGCTCAGAAATTCTGGGATACTACATTCACAGACCTCCCTTGACCTCCTGTAAGGCCTCAAACAATGACTCTTGCTTCTCGTGCTTGAAAAACTGAATCCAAAATTAAACAACAGAAAATTAGATTTATGTACACTTAAAAACAAGTTGGAAAAACAGATTTTCTTTCACGCAATATTTTGATAGGAAGATTTTGGATACCTTTCCGAGTCTACGAAGACCACGCTCAGCCCCGAGAGATATGAGAACAATAATAAAGCAGACGACGGTCACAACCCATGTTGGTGTGTATTCCAGAGACCGGGGCTCTCCTGCGGCCATGGACAGATCTTAATCGCGTATTTTTGCCAGTAAACTCGTAGCAATTAGTATTATCAGCTATTTATATACGCCATTGTATGAGATACTATATGACTGCGAGCAGTGTAAAATGAGGGGCAGAAGGCTAGAAGCTGATCATCCTGAGGTAAAGAATATAAGATTGCCAAGCAACGAACAAAAACCTATATACACTTTCTAGTTTCTTACTAGGTGGGAAACAGGCAAATAGCAAGATGATGCTATGACTCAAAGTTACGGACGCATTGTACTGTACTTGTTTGGATTGCCATTTTTATAGAAGTTTTTGTAAAAAAAAAATAAAATAAAAAACTACAGTGATTTGATTTATGTGACGTAAAAAAAAGAGAAATGTGTTCACGGAACGTGTAAATTTTTTTTTTTATACAAAAAATCATGATCCAAAACCACTCATTATTAGTCAAGTCAACACAAGTTCTTGGTTACTTACTTGTGAGGTAAATTTATTTTTATTTTTTTATTTTTAAAATTTTTGGTCTCTCTATTTTCAAACTTAACATCTGTGATGCTGATGCTGGCACTAGACAGTTTGCAGTAGACAGAAGCCAGCCACCTTCGTTCTTCTTGACGATAACTAAATTCCCATTTTCCAGCCTAAGAGGCTTGTTTTCAGTACGAGCTTTAGCCCTCAATTGATCTTTTTCTTTCTAAATTCAGTTTTTGAAAACTAAAAATTTCATGGGATTTGAAAGTAAACTTGCTTTTTGAAGTTCAAAAATTTGGATAGAATAAACTCGAATTTTGCTAATCAAATGTCTCAAAATTATTGGGTGATTTTTGATTTTTAGGAAAATCAATAATGTTTTTCGCATTTGGGAAAAAGAAAGGCCTATGAGAGCACTTTCAAGTAAATTCTAATTAGATCCATATTTTAAATAGATATTATTAGGTATATTCCCAGTTAGTTCTAGTCCCGTATTTTGCAAACCGGTCCGTCCAAATCAAATTTGATCGAGCATGGGAGCGCATTGAGTCTTGGGACTTTTTGCCTCCTCTAAAATGAAGCGATAAGCTGGCCAAAATAGACCAAATGCTTATCAGCAGGGGCAGCAACATGCCCGGAGCATCGTATCCATGAAAAGATTAGAAAGACGATATGCCTGATTCAGAAAGTCACTAATTTATACAAGTTTGAGATAACCCTATCTTTTTTTAACTTGCATGCCTTCACTTCATCCATAAAATTTGCAACAAAATCATACATTTGGGCAAAAGCCATCAAAGCAAGAAGTCAATTTGAACAAGTACCTCAATATCTTACCTACGCTGATAGCTAATTTGGGAGTTTAGAATAGAAAAGAAAAGAAGAGAAAGGATGGGAAAGGATCAAAGTCTCTACTTAAGTTGTTTGGGAGTTTTAAAAAAGAAAAGAATTAAGTGGTTTTCTTTTGTTTGGGAGTTGAAAACAAATGAAAGTAAAAGATACTCAAATAAGTTACTTTACAAATTTGTTCTTTTAGTAAACAAATGTGAATTAAGTAAGTTGAGAGATTCATCGGAAATTAAAAATTTTTGTATCATGATATTGAGAGCAATATTGTCGTATTGAAAAATTCACTTAAAGCACCGTGCCTTCCTTCCTTTTCCGCCCAACAAAAGTTTTTCAATAGACAAAGGGAAGTGAAGTCTTTCCAAATCCCTTCTTTTCCTTCTCACTTTTGCTCTCAAACGATGGAAAAAATTTATAATCCTTTCAAAACCTTTCTTTTCTATCAATTTCCTTCCTCCCAGACTAGCTATAAAAGAGAGAGAGAGAGGGAAAAAACAAATAGAGGCCCTTTTTCCTTTTCAAATTTTCACTTTTATACGACCTTTATACTTTTGTGATATAGTATCATCTATGCTAGGTTTCTATTCGTCTAAATCGTGCTTGCAGTAAAGACTGAGATAGACGTTTGCCCATTCTCTTTGCTACGCTCACAGCTGTACTGCTTTGAAGTGTCTTGCAATTGGTTGTGTTTGGGTTACAATTTTCTGAAATTTTTATAAAAAAAAATTGGTTGCATTTGGATTGCAATTTTTTGGAGTTTTTGAGGAATATGTGCTTTAACAATTTGATATATATAAGATAAAAAAATGATTGAAAAATATGTTTACGAAAAATGTAGAGATTTTTTGGTAGAATATTCCTTTCCAAACAAGGCCACATCAAAGAAATAGATGGTAGCAATTTTTCAATGCAAAAGGTTTGCTTTCATTGGAGCTAAAAGAGTTTCCTTAAGATAACAATTAAAATATCTAAAAGTTGGAAGATTAAATGCTATCAACATTTAATCTATTTAAAAAAGAATGAAAAGCATAATCACCCAATTTCAACATGGCAAATACTTTGATGAAGAATTGCGGTACAAGGCAAGAGGGTTTTGATCAAGATTGATGGTACAATAAGGTTCTATAAACTGCAAGCTGTCATCAGTCTACCAGAATCTCTACACAAGAAAACCAAAAAAAAAAAAAAGTAAAGACAAAAATTTGACAAACTAATGTGTACAAAAGGAGGGGCACTCAGTACTCGCCCGGAACATTGTCGGCCCCGGTATGCAAATACAATGGGCGCTGGGAGCAAAACCTCCCACCGACCAATTTCAAGAAATGTGTACAATCGTGAAGCTCCCTATCGCACAAGACAAGCGTTCAAATCACAAAGTTTCTCTATACAGTGGGCTGAATAAAAAGAGTGACTAGTGTACACAGGTAATAACGCAATCAGCAGGTAGACTGCCCGTCAGGAGAAATCAATCATTGGAGGTGCTGAGTTAACATCTGAACCCTGATTGTTTGGTGGATGGGAAGCAGTGTCTGATGTGGATGGACTATTACTAGATACCGAAGGCACACTTTCTGGTGTTGCATTTGGATTGTCGACACCAGTTTCATCAACGGGCCTTTGGTTTTCTGCAGCTTTTCCATTTGACTCTGCAGGTACTTGAGTATTTGAATCTGGAGGAACTGAAGTGTCCGCCTCCAATGAGGTCGCACCTGACTCAGAAGGTGGCACACTAGACTCTGATGTAGGTGCGGTACCTGATTGTGATGTATTCGGAGCATCAGAATCTGATTTGGGCGGAGCAATGGATTCTGATGTAGTTGGGGCAACCGTTTCCGATTGAGCCGATGCATTTTGAGCAGTGGCATTTGGTCCTTCCAAGAGCAACTGCTTAGCCGGCTGCTGCTTTTGACCTTGAGCGGCTGGAGGAGGTTTGCCCTGACCAGGATTAGGACCATACAGAGATGCCATTCCTGGAGGCAGAATTTCAATTGGGGGCTTCTTTGCAGCATCGGCCAAACTTGTGAACTTAGGTTCCTCGAGGGAAGCCAGAAATGCAGTAGCAGCATCTGTTTTCGATGAGGGAATGGGTTCCATCTCCTTCTGTAGCTCTTTATTCCATTCCTGAACCAAACTCCTCAGTGTAGGCCGCCCATGAGCCTGTGATGTGTAAAGATTTACGATGGTCAAATTAAAGTTCTAAATTCCATTACAAGAACAAAACTGCAAAGATAGAAAATTATACCTGAGCATGGAGCACAGCCTCAGCAAGCATCCCAGTTTCCTTCCATGCTTTCTCCATGAGAGCATTGTCTCCCAAAACAGCAGCAGCAAATGCTGCTTCCCTCCCTGAGCCGACCGATATCATATTGTTGACCAGATTCTGAAAAAGATGCTTTTACAGTCACTACGGAGATACGGGGAGAAGAAAGATATCTAATTTAAACATCGGAGTTGCAGAAAATTAGAGAGCATCTATATGATCCTGAAGGAGCCATTAAGCCTCCATAAATACAGCTAAATTCATCCATAAAAAATACTTGGTAGACAACCATCCTGCTAATTGCTTATTAAACATTCTCATCTTTTACATTCCGTGATTTATATGTTACATTCTAACTCAAAGAAAGATGTAACCCAATAATTCTAAAGGTTCTGTTCATTCCACAGTGATACATTAAGTTCTGTACATATCCACGTACTTCCTTTTAATAGAGCCAAAAAAATCTCATTGAAGGCTCGCAATTCGAGAATCTTATCATTCTCAGCAGATGCAAAACTGGCAAGTGAGAGGAATATAGACATAAAAGCATCCGCAGTTGCTGGAAGATTTCCACCACAAACTATCCTTGGCACAAGATCATGAGGTCAAAAAAAGTTTTGGTGCAAGATGCTTTCGTGTACAGTCACATGACATTAGTAAAAGCAAGTATAGGGTCATGCTCTCAAGTCCTTCTACCACCCCTTGTTGTAGATTTACATGCTTGGCTATCAAAAAATAACACATCAGAGAGGTTATGTCAGAGTGCATAGATAAATTGACTACCCTATTCTCTAAGGATTCGACCTTTTAGATGAAGTGGCAATTAACTATGTCTTTGAAAATTCTAGCATGGCATTACCTGGAATTCTATACTTTTTCCAAAACTGGTAACAGATTAAGAGACAGAACATAAGAAACATTCTATGGCATTTTTTGTCAACAGATTGGCGAACACTGCAAAAGCATGCAATAAAAAAGAACCAAACATGATTAACATACACTCAGTCTTGTCAACTCCCCGTGATTTGCAAGACGCAAAGCAAGTCCTCGCAACTCATGACCACGTAAAGCTCCCTTCAAGGACCCAGCAGCAGCTAAACGCTTAAGAGCTTCACGGGCAATGTCAGCTTGAGCAGTTGCATCTGCAGCATCTATAAGATCCAAAAATTCCTTCGCAAATTTAACTATCCCTTCTACAGCATCGACAACATTTTCCTTTTTTGCATTTAGATTCATGATGTCATTCAAGTCCAAACCAAGAGTTTCTTGTCCTAAATCCCTGCTGTTGCTCATTGTTAGAAGGCATTGAAGAGCTCTTTTAAGATCACTGCTCTGCATGGCCAGATCAAATTCCAGCCTCTTGGATATCCCGGGCAAATGAAGTGCTTCAGTAGCATAACCCATCCCAAGCATGAACTGTGCTAAATCATCATGATGTTCTCTGCCCAGCCTACTAGCCCATTTCACTGCACTAACTGCATCTCCATAGGCTGCAAGACATCGGCAACGAATACCAGGATGGCCAAGGGATATTGCATGGGCACACATGTACCTATCTATAAGCCAAAGGACACCATCTCGAACACCCACAACTACAAGAGGTCCAACTGGTCGCTTTTGCTCACCTGGAAACCGAGTAACTGCAACAGCAACCCCACCACCACCAACAGCAACTTCATTGACTTTCCTTTCTTCCGCCTCTCTTGGCATTGCTGAATCATCATTCTCACCTTTAGATTGCTTTGGCAAACTTAGAAATGGAGGCACAGAGGGAGAATGCTGAAAAGAAGCTAATCGCACAACTTGGAGCATTGGCGGTCTCAATTTTACCCTATCTTGTGATGTAGTTTGCTGGCTATCAACTGTAATTAATGCTAATTCCCCATGTTCGGCAACAGCTCTTGCCTGAGCCTCTTTAAGTCGCATCTCTTCTTTTCTTTTCTTGGTTTCTATATCAATAGGTGCAACACCAGCATCAACAAAAACACACTCTATCGCAGTCGGTGTGACAACAAATAACTGCCTCCGGTGCCAAACAGCCCCAGTAGCATGAGGAATTGCTACATCTCCCAAGCATCGATACTGAGGACGCAAAGAAGATATGACTATGTAATGCTGATAGGCAAAAGCACAATACTCAACTGTTTGATCCCATGCAGTCCATTCAGGCTGAGGAAGAAGATCACCAACTGGCTGGAAACTCTCCCAGCTGTATAGTTGGAAGTTCAATGGTGTTGCTTCAGTTGAAGGTCTCCGAGAAGAAAAACCATCATCTAAAGCGCTGAAAGAGGAAACAGCACTTGAAAAGCCGGACAAGGGCATTGACTGAATTGTTGAAATAGCAGTAGCAGCCCCAGGACTGACCCTTCGTGACGTTCGATAAGCAACACCAAGTAGTGCACCCCCGTGCAAACCAATGACTGGTTCACTGCGACTGCCAACTGACCTCATCAATATATTTGATGTCCCATCATCCAGAAGTATGCGAACTTGAACACTGGCGGATGAAGCAGCTGAAGCAGCAGCTGCAGCTGCTTGTGCTGCAACAGCAGCAGCTTCCTTAGCTTTTCTTGACGAGCCTTTAGGCATTATAGGCATTCTAGGAGTTACAGCAGATTCAAGTATCGCAAACCTATCTCGACACGTGTCCCAAGACAAAAGCCTTGCACTGCCTGAATCAACAATTGACCAATCACTGACCTTGTAAATGGAGAAGTATGGAATGTCAGGCCACACAACACCCAGGTACCTGTGATCCATCATAGAAAAAAGCAGTTCAATAAATTGTATTAGCAGCGAAATTCCAGAAACTGAATAAACAAATACTCCGACAATCCTTTCCACTAAAGTGTTATGCGTCAAGCATAAATATAAAGGGCAAGGAAGGGAGATAACAAAAACAAAACAACAACTGAAAATAATTTGAATATTTGAAATTTGATTGACAATATCTTAGTAACAATAATCAATTTTCTTCCCAGACATTAAAGTGTAGAAGCAAAAATCATGGAGCACATACTTCCCAGAACTGCTCACAGAAAGAACCGAGTATGAATCATGTGGAACAGGAGTACTAATATGCTTTTTGATTTGCTTAACATTCAGTTGATCAGGTGCATCTCCCCTGATCCTTCCGGTGTCACTCAAGGAACCATTACTCCCAAGTGCCGGATTCACTGTATTAGATAATTGAAATTGTACTAGCTTCAATTCCCTCTCAATGACATATACAGCAGCATGTTCTCGGCTTCCTGGAGCTGTTGGCAGTGCAGCTACAGGTGGAAGAGATCTAGGATCGAACTCACAAACAATGATACCAATATTGGTTCCAGTAGCAACAAAATGAGGCTGAAGAGGATGTGCAACCATAGAATAGACCTGCATAAGAAAGTCAACGAGTATTATATTCTTGATAGAGTTCTTTGTACAGAATATCCATACGAGATAACCTAATTCTGGACACTTGGGCAGCCTATTGAGATATGCCAACTTTTGCAGATTTTTCTAGATTCATTTGGTACTAGAATAAGTTAGTTAATTGTTGAATAAATGCTATTGTTAGGATATTTGTTAACAGAAAATCATGTCGAGTTGTTAACAAATATTTTTGCTAAAACTTAGATTGTGTTAATTTGTTAGCAAGTCATTTTATTTAGATTTTTATGGAGATTTGTTAGCTGGAAATTATGTTTGTTTCATGTAAATACCATAAATAGTGAGTTGATCAATGAAGACATAAGGTTATTTTCAGCCTTCAATACAAGTCTTTTGTTAGCCCTTTTTTTGCAACACTAAGGTGTTGTTTCTTAATTTATGCCCTAAAAAACCAACACAGCCAGTTCCAAGAAAAAGTTCTATAACTTTATATTTATCCTCTTCTTGGTATTGAAGAAAAGAGATTACTATTGGCCAATAGGACTGTCCATCAGAAAGGAATGAAGGTAGGCCATAAAAGCTGGCCTTCTTTGATCATCATATTATAGTTAAAATGTACAGACGCACATAGATCCACACACATAGGGCATTAAACTTGTAAATCCAAGTTGAACATTAAGCATCAACCTGAGCTCGTGTTAACATGCTTGACCTTGATTTGTAAAGCCAAAATTAAAATTTTAAAACATGAAAAGTGCAGAAGACTTTCATGCATAAAATACATGTGAGACTCGAGCCTATTTGTGAGCTACACTCGAGGTGCTAGTAAATTTCGCTGAAGGAAGACCTATTGGGTTAGGAATTATTTGCTAGGTCCCAAGAGAGGATGAGTTCTGGCCTTAACCTACATGAGCAGTGTCACTTTCCATGGTCCTATTCTCTGTGTGGCACTTGATTTCATGACAATGCGTCTTGTAATCTTACCTTAAGGTCATTGATTAAGTCACTTGTCTAGTCTTGACAACATAGGCCACCTAACTATCAGTTATTGCCAAATTTCCACTGATAAAATAGCACATTGAATGTTTCTCATCTAAAATTGCTAATAATTCTAACATTCACTTCTAATCCAGGATCGACTTGGCTACAACAATCAGAAGACCTCATCCATGTTAAGACAATGCAGTGCGCAAACAAAAAAGTTCATGGGATGAAATTTCAACACAATGCAGTCCGCAAAAAAGAAGTTATCTTAATTTAAGTTGTTAGAGAAAACTCTATCTGCAAAACTACATTCAAGATCTCAACATATCAAGTCAAAAAAGATCAGCAACAACAAATGAAAGACTAGAAACATACTCTTAGCTTCTTATTAGATGCAAGTAGTTGAGGTGGCACTAATGAGGACAGTTCGCACAATGGCCTTGTAAGAGCAGAGTAAGTTGGGTGCTCAATAGCCCTGTAAAAAAGGGTCCAAAAGACATCAAAATTTCCACTGCGAAGGAAAACATTTATTTTCTTCATCCAAAGTCATAAATCAAAGGCTTCTCCATCATAGCAGTCTCTTTTGAGTATGCATAAAACAAATATTAGCGAATTAGTAACATCAGATAAAGCGGAATGAAATAAGCATACCATATATGAGAATCCTTGACACAGGTTAGGATGTCGAGGTTGGGAGCCCGAGGATGGCACCAGGATGCCACACTATGACAAGCCAATTTTGACACAGGTTTTATTCGACGCAATTCCTGGAAAAGGGAAAACGATTGGAACAAGCAAAGGCACAGGCAGAAATCAACTTTCACACTGCAAAGGAGACAATACAACTAAAAACAATCAATACAACACCTTAAACGAAATCGTGTCCCAGATAGCTAAAGTTTTGTCTGCACCAATTGTGATTAGCTGGGGTGCCCCACCAATCACTCTAGACAGCTCGACAGCTGTAACACCACCTTCATGGGCCTAAAAATTGTTGTAGGAAAATGAATGAAAGAGTTTTCCAGAATACTATTGCAGTCAACGTAAAAGTGTTAACAATCCTGTTACTGCAAATTGCAACTATTAATCATCCAGGTAAAAAGAGCTTAAATGCGTATTTATGATATAAAATACAAAATGAATAGCTAGAGAAGAAGTAAAAAAAAGTTCCTGTAAGGACAACCTAACAGTAAATTTTGCATCACTCCCTAAGAAGTATGTCATTCCAGAATGAACGACAACTAGTAACATCCACTTAATTAAAAAAATTAGTTCACTTTTTCTGAATCCAAACTCTGTTTTGAAGATAAATGGTGCGCACCACCTCAAGGAACTTTTTTTTTTCCAAATAATACTAGACCTACCCAGAAAAACTTATTACCTCTTGTGATTTCGCTATCTTAGAAAATGAGTACATGAAAGAACTTAACCGGCATATAAATACAAAGAATTGGGTATTGGAGTCAGAGAAGCAACTTTAACATTTCAAAAAGTCAAAATTTAGCACCTAAACAACAGACTATGTTACATAGGAAAGAGAAGAGACACTCTTCATCCTGATACATGAATAGCAAGGAATCTAAGAAAAGGCATTAGCAGATCAAGTACAAGTTAAACATAATTTTATAAAGTAACTAGAGTGAAAAGGCAAGAAGGGAAGAAAAACAATTAAAATGTACAGCAACTGGTTAAGAAGAATACTACTTTTAAGCTCAGCTTAGGCACAAGTTCTCGTGAATCATGCCCATAATCTGCACTCCAGAGGACAAGCAAACCATCACTACCGCCAGAAACCAAAAATGCCTGTGCCAAAATACAAGGAGATGTAATATTCACCAGTAGAAAGATGACTAATAAAACAAAGGACATCCACTAGAGAATTGTGACATATCAATTTCAACACACCAAGCTATGGATGCTTCCTCCTATAAACTAAGATACACTACGTATACAAAAGGAAGAGAGAAACACTTAATAATAGATTCAAACTAAAAAGAAAGGGTTGACAGGCTTAGAGAAACTACCTCGCCAGATGAAGCCATGAAGGTCATCAAACAAGCAATTGACCCCTTGTGACCTCCAGTATACCTACGAGCAAGCTGCAGAGGGAAGAGAAACCACATCACACCAATCCTTGGCACTTGCATATTCTCAGACACAACTGGGCAAAATATCAATGGCCAAATTAAAAGAGCAAAGCACTTAGAAGAAGGAACCTTCCACGTTATCATTGAAAGGACTCTTATTACACCATCTGATCCACCAAAAGCCACTAGAGGACCCTCATTAGCCGCCGACTTTGCTAGAAATTCCATACTGTCACAAAGACATTCAAAAAATTTAGAGAGAGAGAGAGAGAGATGGAGAAAATCGATAATCTAACTTTTGTTATATCATCTGGGAATAGTTTGAAACAGCCACGTAGTTGCCATAAGAAAGGTGTAATGCATATCATAGTTAAGGGGCCCCAGCAAAGCAGGAATTCCAGTAAATTAGATTATCTGTTGGATTTAAATGATGCAATTGCAGAACTAACCATCCTTTTGGTGTAGATTAATGACGTATGGCAGTAACATGGGGATCTATCCTAGTATCATAAAACCTTTCGATGAGTGGAAATTTAACTCTTATTAGAGTCTCTGTTCAGCTTATATGCTCCCAATTACAGCCTTGGAGAAGAAAGACCCATCTTATAAAAGATTAAGAATATAAGTTTAATGTGAGGGACCACCAAAATTGGAGATATAGAGGGAAGAAATGAATTCTCTTGGAAGGAGATGTCAATTGTTAAGTAACCCAAATAAGTGTGCCATCCTTTACTACAATGTAACTTAAGACTCTTTCAAAGGCGGCCCCTTGCATCAATTGACTTAATCACAAGCAAGAACACCAAAAAGAAAGTATGTATCTCCGTTTGTTTGCTTCCGTCCGAGTTGCACATGGTAACCCACATCATTCATTTGATTATGTAACTAGTTTTGCACCTTAAGGATGCATGATTATTCAAGCTCCTGTTGGTGATATTCTGACTAATGGACTCTCACATACATAAAAGCTATGTTACTCGGACTCTCAACTTTGCCCTACCTTACCGTGCCTGACTCTCCATTTTGCACTAGTGTAGCCATGTCAATAGGACTTGGTTACCGAGTCTGAGTAACATAGCATAAAAGAGTTGAGCAAAATAATCCCATCCTCAAGTTTTTAAGAACATACCGAATTATATGAAGCAAGGCCTTACCAAAGAAGCGATTTGTTGTCAAGATCTTGCTTTGGAACATCACGCCCACGCATTGTCACCAAATCTAGAAAAATGGCTTTGTTCTCACAACATATTACAAGAAAATGCCGTCCTTTAGTTGAAGGGGCTGGAGTACTAAAAGCCGAAGTAACATTATTCACAGCGGATGGAGCCTCAGCAGCAGCAGAGCGGTTGCGCCAAAGTTGCCAAAACCGCACATCATCATCATAAAAGCTTACCTGCTTAACACTTCAACCATGCACTGAATGGCTCAGGTTTAACAAACAAATCCACAAAAGTCAGAAAATTTGGCAAGTCAGGGGATTGATCCATTACCTCCCACCTCTGATTGCTTCTGTAGGTTTCCCTTTAGGCTCTGGGGTACAAATAAATAATGACTTATTCCAAGAACAAATGAGGGGAAAGCATTTCATGATTAAACAAGACTTGGAAACCAAGCAAATTCAGGTTGCAAAATTTCTTGTATTTTGGTTTCTAGCTTCTAATAAACCAAAGCATCCCTGAGCAGCAGCTACAACTGAATTTTAGGAATAAAATTTGGAAATTTAAACCATCAATTCCCAAAAGTTCCATCAATTTGCAAAACCCTGTAATGGTACTAATCTCCACCTACTCTGTCTTAAATATTATTCTTCACGTAAAACTTCAAATTCAAATATTGCGACACAAACAGTGGAAGAAACAGAGTCGCAGCATACAAAGAAAGATGAAAACAAAGGTTGCAGTATGCCATAATAGTCAGAGTTCACTAGCATTCCAGCTAAGACGTTTACTCGTAGCAGTACTCAAATTTTAAACTTTATACTAACACTTAGATGAATACAGATTTCAGAGCTCTCAGAGCTCAATGACGGCACATATCCACAATGTGTCATTTGGTAACCTATAGCTCAAACTTATTTAACCATTAAAACCCATATGGAAAATTCGACCCAGAAAAATGCAGGGAAATCGTAAAGCAATAAAGGGTACCTGATTCGCCCTCTGCGAGCTTCTCCAATTTAGCACCAACCAAACGCCTCTCATCAACACCCCCACCTTTCAGCTCATAAATCACCTAATACCCACAAAAAATATATATATACACAACCAATCAAAATTCGAGAAACAGAAAGGAGAAGCAAAATAACCGAAGTAATTCCAATACAAATAGGCCAAAACCCAGATATAGTGTTTTAAATGGAAAAATGTTAAAAGGAAAAACCTGGCGGTGTTCCCAATTCCAAACGGAGACGTGATCGGATGCATCGGAGGTGACAAGCCAGGGGTGAGTTGGGTGCATTTGGATCTTGACGATCTTATCATTTGTGGGACGAAAAGCCTTTAACCTCAGCATTTTTTTTTCAGTCTAAATCTTGTCCAACAATTTCAAATAACTTGAAGTTTATACAAGAAACAGGGTACGGATCTAACAGGGAATTCCCTTCTCGTTACAAGATTGGATCGAGGCTTCCAACTGCGGTCCGGTGCGGTGGCATTCCAATTCCAATGGATATTCAGTTGAAAGCCTGGCTGAAGCTTCGGGGCAACCAAAATTAGAGAGAAGAAGGAAGAAGCAAGCAAGACTAGCAGAAATGCTTTTCTCTGGCTGGGCTGCTTAAAGAAGAAAATCGAAAATGGTGAAAAAACGAAAACTAGTTGAACTTGGCACCAGGAAGAATTCGCATGAAAATAAAAATGACAGTAAAGAGGTAAAAGTTTTAACTGGTTTTAACTTAAAACTATCGTGCTAAATTTACTCTCACTGAGGTAAATGATTTTACTTTGTGAAACGATGCAGGGTGAGATTTTTGCGATTCCTTTTATTTGTTTACTTTTTTTTTTCACTTTCCATTTATGTTTCTATTTTGTAGCATATGAATATGCATTTATATGCTTTGCTTTCATATATAATAATTGTTAACCTTCTAAAGCAAGAAATTTATTTTGATAAGTTGCCTTCTAACTAATACTATGGTAAATGGAAGAGAGAAATATTATTCGCATTCCTCGCATTAACCATCTAAACACCGTTATCTAAAGAAGAATATAAGATGCAAGTAATTATGAACCTAAAATAGATGGAATAATTTTTTCCAACTTATTGATTTTCTTCTTTTTAACCTTAAAGGACTCTTAATATCCTATTCTATATTAGTGTAGAGTCGAGAAAGGACAGACAAAATTAAAAGAAATCGAGAATAGTTACTCTAAAGTTTCTTCTGAATTAATTGGAATTTATGAATGGAAACATGTCTTTTTTTTTTTTGGGAAAATTCATATTCATGTTGATTAGTAGCCTTAGGTTTTGTTTGAATGGCTGGTTTTTATAGAAAAAAATTTATATTTTTTTGTGAACTTTTTGTAATTATTTTTATCTCTTGTATCTCACACAGATAAAATTTTTACGATACATTTTTTTATTAAATTTTCTAAAAATAGCAATTCAAACGATTCTAAGCTCTTCATTGAAATTTTGATCGTCTTTATTACTTCGAGACTAAACAAGTATTCTACATATAAATCCACCGGAAAATATAAATGAAAAACTTTTCTAAATTTTCCCAATTTGGGTTCTGGACCACAACAAAGCCCATTTTGGTATGGTGACGGAGTATAGCCAGTTGGGCCGAAGGATACAGCCCTGCATTACATTTGGGACATTTACAAAGGACCGACCCGTCTTCTTCCTCGAAGCAACAGTTACATCCATACACAATTAAAACTCGCGCCCAGATTCACTGCTTTAAAGGTTCGGGTAATCGGGTCTGGAGCTTTTCTCTTCACCATAGCCCCTGCCCCCTTACTCTATTTTCTCCCCTCTGCCTCTCCAAAAGCCCCAAATTTCCCAGCAAAACAAAAAGCACACGCACAACACACACTTAAACAGTTAAATTTCACTCAATTCAAATTCTTCTTTCCCGTTTTGCTAGTTATCTTTCCCCTGCTCTCGCCAATCTCTGCATTTAGGTATGTTTTTAATCTAAACTCGTATTTATGTCGTTATACGAATGAAATGCGCGTACAAGTACGTGTATTTATGAATGCTTATATGCATTTGTATTATTATGTATTCATATTCATGTGATGTATATTTTAGGGTTTTAAAGGCAGCAAGGCGCGAATTTTGAAATTTTGCAGAAAACGAATTAGGGTTTTTTTGAAAAACGGTTTCTTAATCGGAATTGATGAATGCTGTATCCCAGGTATCTTAATATTCTGATTAGAAATGGTATTTCCTTTTTAAATTTGTTGCTAGCTTGCTCGTTGGTGATTATGATTGATTTTTTTTTTTTCAAATTTTCAAAAATATTTATTTTTCTGAAGTGGTGAGAGAGTGATGGTGGCGGTAGTGGTGGATTGCAAGTGAAGCGAAGTGAGTTCATTTTGATATTGGAAATGAGAGCAGAACAGGGCTGAGTTGATATGAGTAGATTGTCATTTAGGCCGCGTCCGCTTGACATTCACAAGAAACTTCCCATTGTAAAATCTGTAAAGGATTTTGAGGATGATGATACACCTACAACTACTCGTAACTCTCAGATACTCCGCTTTGCTGCTGAGGCTGACATTGAGGTACAAAAATCTCCCCTCCCTCTCTCTTAGTTTGGAAAGTATTAAGTGAACTGCTTATTGTTTTTCAATCCTAGTTTTGTCTTCATGTGTTGATTGCAATTTGCCGCTAAAGTGCTAGTAAACCGGCTTTACTCTTCAGTTGGTCCCACTTGGATTGCAAAAATTAGTGCTAGAATGTAAATGAGTTTCTTGTGAGCATCCCCAACTCTATCTTTTTGAAGCAAACAGGTAAAGGGAAAAGGGGAGGCAACCGTAACCCCAAATTGTACTAGCAGTGTTTACACAAATTAGATCCACATTAGGCCTAAATGGAAGACTTATTAAGTTATGTTGCTGACAATTTTCGCATGCCAAAGGTGTCAGATGTGGTAAGGATTTTATCGGCAGTCAGTCTTTTGAAATTTGGAGAAGTTTACAGTTCATACAGTTTGGCCTATTTTCTAGCTTCTTGATGATTTCTCCGTGAGAATTATTCCTTCTGGAACATAATCTATTAAGTAAAATTTTTTTATTTGTTAATTCAGCTTTTTCTAGTTGCTGACTTATTGGTTTTTAGGAAATGTTAATTATCATTTTTGAACTGAATATAGATGTGAAATTTATTGAGTGAAGGTTATAAATCCTTCTTTTCTTTTTCTTGTTGGATTATCTGGTATATTCTCCACATTTAATCTTATTCCTACCAGATTATCGGGTATATTGTCCTCATATAATTGTTGTAACTTGGGTTTTTTGACCTTTGATTCCAAGATCATCTTTTTGGGAGTCGGTTACCCAGCGGTATGGAAAGACTATTCTAATTGACTATTGCATTTTGATAATTGATTATCTGATTGCTAACTGTCAAATGAGTTACCTAACTGTTTTTCTTCTTACCAGATTGCCTATATCGCTAACTTTCCATTTTATGTTCTGGTCAACATTATTTTCCACGTGCAATATCTGAAACTTGGCCATTTCTGACTTATAGCTCTAAATTGTTGTGATTTTGCAACCTTTATCCAGACAATGTAACATGTGGCTTGTTAATTTTCAAGTGGTTTTTGAACATAGTGTACTTCTGGTTAGATATCCTTTAATGACTGAATACATCTAAGTAATGCATGTCCATTCGGAAGATGGTCAACAAAAGAAAAAAGAAGTTGCAAAATTCTAATCGGAGATGCAAAAATGTAAATAAAATAACACTGTTTCCAGTCCCTTTTCTTCAAGAAGTTAGGCACCGCTGCTTTATAGAAGGTTAAATAGAAGCTCGAAGCACTTGACTTTGGTATTGTTCTTGAACTAAGAAATTGGGGGTCCGTCATTATGTTATGGTCTCCATTTTAAATAAAGAGTAAATTCTTGGATTAGCTCGCCTAGCATGATAACAGGATCATGTTGGGCAAAGATTTGATGGGAAATAATGCCTTAGCTACTTTCATCTATCATAGAAAGATTAACAATGCATCTGTTGATAACAATTTAACCATTTAAAATGGGTTAATTTCACTTTGCACCCTTTAACTAAATGCAAGCCCTCACTTTGGTCCATAAACTTTAAAATGGGACACTTTAATCTCTAAACTATAAATTTGTTCCATTTTAGTCCCTAAAGTATATAACTTATTCTACTTTAGTCCTTAAAATATAAAATTGTTTCTATTATAGTCCCTAAAGTATATACACTTAAATCTAAAATCTGTTCCACTTCCTCAATGATCCTAATTAAATGGGATAAAATTTATAGTTTAGGGACTAAAGTGTTTCATTTTAAAGTTTACGGATCAAAGTGAGATTTTTTATATAATTAAAGAGTGCAAAGTGGAATTAACCCATTTAAAAGTGACATATTTTAGGAGTTGCTGGCCAATGATGTTGTTATGCCCTACGGAACAACGATGTTGACATGATGCCATGTAGATATCGAACTTCATATAAACGAGTTGGCTGCTGTCGTATTACAAGAAAATGTAGGTTTCTGTATAGCATGAGTTAGAACTCAGAAATCACATGAAAGGTTTCCGGACCACATAGATCAAGAGCCTGATAATGTCATTATAACCTAGAGATCACATGAATATTTTTTGAACTACCTAGAGATAGAACCTAATAAGGTTACACAACCTTAGATTTTATTTTTGGCATACAGTTATCTTTATCTAAAGATTTAGGTGTTGCTATGATGATGTTATTTTAGGCGTTGCTGGCCAATGACGTTGTTATGCCCTATGGAATGTTGAACTCAAACTTGACATGATGCTGCATAGATATCTTCAAACTTCATATAAATGAGTTGGCTGTGGATGTACTACAAGAGAAAGTAGGATTTGTATAACACGAATTATAACCCAGAAATCACATGAATAATATTTGAACCACATAGAGAAGGATCCTAATAACTTCATTATAACCTCGAGATCACTTAAAAAGTTTTTGAACTACCTAGAGATAGAGCCTAATAAGGTTATTACAGCCTGAGATGTATTCGGTTGGACAAATCGACACGATACGACATAGTATCTTGACGTGTGTCTAAAATGAGTCTGACATGGATGAATCAGGAGACACTGGTCGTGCTTATGTTATTAGATAGTAGAGCCACAATGACATGAAACCATAATATTTTAGCCAGAGAGAGATGCAAATACAAAGCAATTAGTTTAGGATCCTTAGCTTTAGATAGAAAGTGGCGAAGACTAAATGAGAAAAGAAATGAAGTGGGTTTAGAAAAGAAGGAAGCACTTTTGTGGCTCAAAATTATAAAGGAGTGACATGGGTTGGTTTGATTTTTAACCAGTTAAACCTTTTTGATTGGTTGACTTGTGTTTTGCAATTTCATTATCTGGTAACTAGTTTTAATAGCCCAACCTCTTAGTTCTACTTAACATTTTTGAAATTGGAAAGAAAAAAGAGATCGGGACCTTTCCCTTAGGGCAGCTGTGTGTTTGACAAGTTTTTATTATAGCTGGAATCTGCATTAAGTTGTTAATTAAGTAATATTGAAAGATGATGGATGCCAACCAGGGATTCCGGTATCTT